TAATAATTATGATAATGCAGTAATTGGTACAAGGGTTAGACAAACTGACCACTGGAACAGAAGAGAGATCCCCAAAACAGACCTAGACATAGTTGACATATGAGAAAGGTGACTTTGCTGATCAGTGAGAAAACGAAAAACCATTTGTTAAATGATATTGAGAAAAACTGGTTACTCACCGGGAAAAAACCAAGATTAGATCCCTCCCAAAATTAGACCCCTCATACCACATTTAAAAATCAATTCCAAATGAATTAAAGAATTAACTATGAAGAGCAAAACAACTCTTAGAAGATAATAAAGGAAAATGTATTTCTGACCTGGAGTAGGGTAGGATTTTCTTTAATAAGATACAAAATGCACTGATTATGAAAGATTTTTAAATTCAACTACATTAAAAATATCAAATCTACTCATTAAAAGATACCACAAAGAAAACAAAAAGAAAAGCCAAAAAGTGGGAGAAGACATAAACCAAAATAGACGAAAGTTAAGAACTCCTACAAATCAATAACAAACAATCCAATTGAAAATAGGCAAAAGACATCAATAGTAATTTCAGAGAAGAAACAGTAATGGCCAAAAAACACATGAAAAAATGCTCAATCTCAGCAATTAGGAAAATGCAAATTAAGAGCATAACTAGAAACTATTTTACATTCAACAACTGGCAAAACTCTGAAAAATTTGACAATACCAAGTGTTGGAAAGAAAACTGAAAAATGAAAACTTTATTACATTGGGGAATGTATTTTAGTACTACTTTGTAAAACATGAAATTACCTACAAAAGCTAAGGCTGTACAGATCTCTACAACCGAACAATTCCAATCCTATGAACTGTATCAGAAGACATGCACTAGAATGTTTATGGCTGCACTATTCACAGTAGTAGCCAAAAAAAAGAGGAAACAATATAAATATCTACAAGGGTACTTCAAAAAGTTCATGGCAAAATAGAATTAAAAAATAATACAAATCTTTCCATGAACTTTTTGAAGTACCTTCATTTAGAAAAATGAATATATTACAGCATATATACATATATCAGAATAACACGTAGCAGTGAAACAAATGAATTATAACTACAAGTATACATCAACATGGACAAATCATAAAAACATCATGTTGAATAAAAGGCAAGAACCAGAAAATTATATTCACTAGGATTCCACTTAAAGGTTAAAAGATGCATACATAACTCCAATATCTAAATTCAGTATGGCAGTAACCTTTGGGAGAAGGCAGAAAGATATAATAATGAAAGAGCACAAAGGAAACTTAAAAGGGACAGAGGATCTACACCTAACAAGGCGCAATTGTGCCTATTTCCCTGTAATCTCACCAGAGTAATTTTATCAAATTTTTGGAATTTTTCCAATCTGATAGGTGAAAAATGGTAATTGAGTAGTTTCAATTTGCATTATTATTATGTATAATATAGATATTATGTATATTTTAGAGCCATTTGTATATCCTTTCATATGAACTATCCTCTCATAAACTCTGCTAGATTACTGTTTTTCTTATTGATTTCCAAAAGTTCATATATAACACAGATATAAGTACTTTGCCTCCTATATGAATGACAATTACATTTTCAAAGTGCATTTTTAAAAAAGGTATTGAGAATGTTGGGTAATGGGTGTACAGGTACTCATTTCAACACAGATATAAGTACTTTGCCTCCTATATGAATGACAATTACATTTCCAAAGTGCATTTTTAAAAAAGGTATTGAGAATGTTGGGTAATGGGTGTACAGGTACTCATTTAATTATTTTCTTTAAAATGTTTCTTTTATATTATATTTTATGAACAAAGCAAATTTACATGGTAAAAGAAACCCTTCCACTGACATGGTCTGTTTTGTTTAAGGGAGATAAGTAATTCTTGGAAGAAAGCAAAAATTTTCACAATTACTGAGGTCCTACATATTTTTATGACTTGGGACATCAATGTTTAATGCCTGAGAACTCCTCATTGACCTATGTGTCAGAAAAAGTATTGCCTTAAACCTTAGTATATTAATTCTAAATTATTTTTAAATAATTGTATGAGAATTGCTTTCATTTATGTCTTTTCTTCCATAAAATTAATACATTTCGTTTTTTCTAAGTCACTTAAGAGAACACTTCCTACATACTGGATTGACCATGTCTATAGTTTTAAAATTGGCTTTCTTTTCCTAATTCCTCAAATAATCTACCCTCCACATGTACTCCCCCCAAATCTCAAAAGAGAATTTCTAAAAATTAGCTTGTTGGGCCAGGATGATCCAAATCATTATTAAAATTTCAGTATCTGCATTTTAAAGGAAGAAAATAAAATACAGAAAAGGTACTCCTCTGAGTTCTAAGAAAATGAAATCTCAGAGGCAGTCCATTCTCATTGTTTCTTTTAACTAGATCACAGTTCTATTGTAAATATACCATTCCCTTCTCTTTCTTTCTTTTTTTCTTTTTCTTTTTGGACATAAAGTACCACATGTGGTTATTAAGACTGATTTAGAAATTATTTCCTAAATAATAATAGTTTTACCTTCCTATGAAGCTATCATTCATCAGGGACATTTTATTCCTTCAATTGCTTCACAAAGCCATTCCTGTTTTTACCATCTTAAACTTTTTAAAAGGACAGGAAGGGCCGGCCCAGTGGCGCACTGCTACAGTGCGCCGCTTGGGAAGCGCGGCGGCGCTCCCGCCGCCGAGGGTTCGGATCCCACATACAGACCGGCCGCTCACTGGCTGAGTGAGGAGCGGGGGCAACGCCGAGGGTTGCGATCCTGTTGCCGGTCCCAGTCCGGTACGGGGGCGACACTGAGGGTTGTGATCCGTTGCCGGTCACGAAAAAAAGACAAAAAGACAAAAAGACAAAATAAATAAATAAATAAATAAAAGGACAGGAAGAGCTCTGGTTTTCTTTCATTTCTGAAAGTTCCTTGCTCTTCTGTACTGGATCATCTGAATAAAAAGTGGCAATGACAGAAAACTAAACAGATTCTCAAAGAGAAATAGGCTACTGCATATAGGTATTTACCATAGAACAAATGGAAGCTTAGTGAAGAGGGATTTATCAATACATATGAGCAAATCCAAGTTACAGTTAGAGAAGCAGAGCTGGTGCCTGAATAGGTAGACTAGAGGTCTACGAGATTTTAATGAATGTGAAATTAGCAGACACAGCCACTAGAATTGAAGGCAAGCCAAAGACAATAATTTGGAAGACTAACATTTTAACTAGTAAAATAGGATGAAAGACTGAATAGATAACAGATATAGTATTCACTCACTTGATACGTAGTGTAAATTTTCTGGGAACATGTCTCTCTATGAGATAACATGGGATGCAATTATGAAAGAGCAAGAAGTACAAGAGGGAGGTCTTCAAAAAGTTTGTAGATTCATATTATCTTTTAATTCTATTTTTTCCACAAACTTCTTGAAATACCCTCGTATAACATCTGCTTTTCAGGAATGTTGCCTGGTACAAAAATTAAGTCCACTGAGTTCAACAGCAAATTATTCATTTGTCATTGATGTGCTCTCTATCAATAAAAGCCGGAAGAAAATAGTTGTTCTGATTAATGTTAAAAATAAGAAACAATAGTTACTCATAGTAGAGAAAAAGAATTATAATGCAGTATAATTAGCACGACAGTATGAATTTCATACATTGTGAATCTAAGATGATAAAAAATGATAACCATTCCATTTTTTTTTAATACATAAAAAGACTAACAGACTAGCCCCAACTCCAACTCTAGCTTGATGGCTGTTTCAACTATGTAATAATGAGATTTAGCATGCAGAATATAGTATGAAATGTCCCAACAGTTAAATTTCAAATACTTGGGTTAATCCTCAGGAAAATATTTTATATATAAGTATTTCCCTTCACTTTATACATGATAAAAAATAATCAATAAAATCTTACAAAGAAACTATAAACACAAGATTCGGACCATTCATATAATTATCTAACTTATGAAACTTCATACGGAAGCCTAATATTATTTCTGGTATTTCAACCAATAACATCAGAATTCTTTCCATTCTTATTCAAACTTCATTCTTAATGCTCCATTAAATGACATAAGCAAATGCAAATAAAGCATTTTCCTGGAGACTCAAATAGTCTTTGAAGAAGAAAAACAAAATATATGAAACTGTATACTTCATAAGGCTTTGATTGATGTTCATTCCTCACGAGCATAAAATAAAACATTTAACCAACACACTACATTTGTATTCAGCCCTCTGAGTTCAAAAATAAACCCTTCTGGGCTGCCCAGCTAGCTCAGTTGGTTAGAGCACAGTGTTACAACACCAAGGTCAAAGGTTTGGATCCCCGTATCAGCTAGCAGCCAAAAATAAAGAATTAAGAAAAAAATCCTTCTTCATATGCTATGCCATAAAAGAAAATTATACAAATTTTACTATTTATATGAATTGAATATGTCTTTTATCCCAAACTGAAAGAGATAGAGCAACATGCATTTTGGACTAACACATTTTATTTAGAACAATATACTTATTAGGTATAGCTAATTTTTACTGTTATAATGTTTTCCCTCATATTCATGTAATATGTAAATGTTATTTTACCTATTCTATCAAGAGCTAAACATGGGGCATTCTGGCTAAGGTTTACTCTACTAAGTAAAGTCCTCCTTAAAAAAAAAAAAAAAGGACAATGAGAACTACAGTGTTAATTTAAAATATCTCCCCTAAGGAATATCAGAGTTTTATAGACAATAAAAGTAAAATACAAAAACCAAAAAAAATTTTTTAATTTCCTCTTATATTTATTAAAATGATGGCACCATTCTGAAATCTTGATGCTCAATACCCGAAGAACTTTTCTTTCAAGAGAAAGTATAGTCACATTCTCGAAATCATATTAAAACTTTACTGTAACCAAAATGGTCTTTAAAAGGCTCAGAACACCTCAATACAGAGCATTAATGCTATCATTTAAAAAAAAAAAAAAATCACTCACCTTTCAAACCTAGAGTTTGTAGCTGGAAGAGCCGACCAAGTTCATAAGGCAAAACCCGTAACATATTGTCATTTAAAAGCAATTCCCTGTATTAAACAAAAAAGTTTTAATATACCAAACTTTATTAATACCTACATTTGCCATTCTTAATCTTCCTTTAACATGCCATGTTAACATTCAAGGTACAATTCTATATGCTCATCCAAAAATGCTGTGCAATTATAAAGTACTACAAAATGTACAACTGCCACAACTGTTAACAGTGTTTCTGTGATTTACTCATTCTCTAGCACAGATTAAAATTAGAGGTGTAAGAACTGCACAACATTCTCTGGTTAAATATACCTCCTTTTCTCTCTCATTCAAACAACAGATATCCTTGAACACACTTTAATTCATAGAAAAAAGTAAACTTTTGTAAACAAACCCGAGGATTAAACTATAATTAGAAGCCAATCATCTGCGTCATCTTTTTAAATAACTGATTACAACTCTAATCATATCAAAATACTATGAAAACGAAAAAACAAAAACAATAAAAATTAATAGAGAAAAACAAAGTAGTGTATCAAGGGAGTAAAAGACAATAAATGTGAAAAGACAAAACAAATACTACAGTGGACAATCGCTGACAAAACAAATATTAAACTAATGCACAGGATAGTATAGATAAGAATAGAATGACATAAATAATAACTAAGTTTACGACTCTGAAATTTTGGGCAGACTATAAAAAAAATAAATAGTACCCTCATTAGTGGATGACCAAAAAGCTTTTAAAACAAAAACAAAAAAACAGTAAGGGGATTAAGAACAAGATCCTGAAACGATGTTTAATTTTAGACATGTGATAGCAATTTTTTAAAAATTATAACTCCAAAGATAAACAAGGTAGAAAAGCAATCCTTGCTTTCACTGGGAACATTTATACAAGGTCTCAGAATTCCTGCAATATTTTGTTTTATGAAATTTTTTAAACATCCTGAAGGATGAGAAATAAATCCATTTTATCAGGTTTAAAGGTTCCCTTAAAGAATATAAAATATAAATATACCTTGTCTACATGATAGAGGTAAGTTCCTAAAAGTTTTACTTATAAGCAAATCATATTCTTTATTATTTCTGATTAGTCTGATCAGACTTAAGCCTAAGGTGAGACTTACTATATTTTAGTCCCACCCCACCTCAAGTCTGTCAAAAGAAACTTTTTTTTTTAAATTAAAGAAACTGTTAATACAAGCACACTCTTAGCCAGTAAACTTCAAATTTAAAGGAAGGAAAAGAAATGTTCAATGGAGATCAACTTAAGCACTGTGTGCTTAGACAAGTTTATATCATTTGATCTTCACACATATAGATATCCTACTGTAAGATGAGTAACATATCCCATAATTTTCTTATTTGGTAAATTTAGAATTTTATATAGTGAGTCATGTCTTTAATATTCCTCACCTGAGAGACACCATGTTTCCTAGTTCTGCTGGTAAACTTCTGAGTTTATTGGATGACAGATCCAGGTAAACCAGATTATGAAGCTTGGCAATATCAGGTGGAATGCGACTAAGGTAATTGTCATTTAGGTGCAGCGCCGTCAAGTGTGTCAATGACCAAAGTGATGTACTTAAGCTCCGCACTCTACCTAAAAGGCAAAATACTGAAGCATAAATCTGAGTCCAAGATGAAAGCTGAACTGCAAGGACTAGAAAAGTGATAGGAGAGACTGCAAGCAAATACACTGAGATATTGCATTTTAATTGTGTATTTTTTTTTTTCCTTTTTTGTCTTTTTTCGTGATCGCAACCCTCAGTGTCGCGCCCGTACCGGGACCGGCAACGGGATCGCAAGCCTCGGTGTTGCGCCCGCATCTCGCTCAGCCAGTGAGCCGCCGGTCTGTATGTGGGATCCGAACCCTCAGCAGGAGCGCCGCTGCGCTCCCAAGCGGCGCACTGTAGCAGTGCGCCACCGGGCCGGCCCTTAATTTTGTATTTAATGCCATTTGATTGATACCAAACACACCTGGTCCTCCTTTAATTTCATGACACTTTCACTTGACAACCACTCTTTCTCCTGGACCTTCCATGTGAATGACATGCAGCAAACAGTGGAGACCCTTGGAGTCAGGTCTCAAGGAGAAAACATGGGGCTAAATTGAGTTTTTGTGCTAGAACAGTCCTGAATTTGTTAAGTCATACTCCTTACAAAAGTATTTCTTATATACTCCATGAAAATTAATAGTGCAAGTTTTATCCATATCCAGGGCCTGAATTCATCTACAAACTTTAAATTGACAAGAGTATATTACTATGATTTAGAACCAACCTTAGACATCAGGAAAACCATTTTACCCTCAAAGGAGACATCTTCCCCAGCTTTCTGATGTTACAAGTATAGATTAACAATACTGATTTTAAGATTTTGCATTAAGTGCAACATACTCAAAGAAATGGTCACACATTAAACTCTATGAATCAGTCAGTACATGGTAGAACATGTACTAGAAAAAGTCAGAAGACCTGTTTCAGAGTCCTGATTTTTACCATCTATTAGCTAGATAAGACTGGGCAAGTCATCTAGCTTCTATGAAATGGGAGATTATCTCACCTATCTTAACTATAATAAGTATTAATTATGCATATAAACTTTACAAAAGTAAACTGGTATTTTAATTATGTGTCATTTGCCAGACAGTAGATTCTGATAAGAGGGGCAGTGGAAGGTACAGAGGGCACAAAATCGCAAAGGGGAAATGTTACTTTTCATATAGCTATCAGCCAGTAAATTCAAACTTTTATCTTTTGTCCATTATTCTTTCTACCACAGATTCCTTCCTGTTGCCCATAATCAGACTTAGGGCATCAAGTAGGATTTTACATTTTAATAGGAAACAAAGTTTTCAAGTAAAGGGGCTCTGGGTAAAAGAGAAAGTTATTTCAATTTTACCTGAGATTTAACCTAGCAGTTCCCAACCAGGGGAGATTTTGCTCCCCAAGGGACTTTGGCAATTTCTGGAAACATTTTCAGTTGTCACAACTAAAGGAGTACTACTGGTATCTAGTGGGTAGAGGCCAGGGAACTAAACAACCTACAATGTACACAACAATCCTTCACCACAAAGAATTGTCTGTCTGGCCCAAAGTGTCAGTAGTGCCAAGGTTAAGAAACCCTGAGTTCACCTAATAGGATTTGCTCACATTTATTCTTTTGATTGCCAATCACCCATCAACCTAATTACCATTTAGCTAAAAGTACAATTAATTATTACCATTGACATTACGATGTGGGTTTAACTCTTTCATACAAAAGCCTACTGGGAAAAAATCTACATTCCATATATAACATGTATTGTACAAATTCATAAAAGAAAAATGGTCTTCATATCCTATTTAATAAACTTTTAATTTTGTAATAATTTTATATTTACAAAAAAGTTCCCAAGATAATACAGAGTTCTTGTATACCCCTCATTCAGTTTTTCTAACATTAGAATCTTACATTACCATGATACATTTGTCAAAACTAGGAAACCAACATTGGTGCATATTACTAACTAAACTCTAGACTTTATTTGGATTTCACTGGTTTTTACACCTTTTTCTTCCAGGATTCAATTCAAGCACCATTTTGCATTGAGTAATCATGTCTTCTTAGTTTCCTCTGGTCTGTTTCTCAGTCCTTCCTTGTTTCTAATAAAGTTTACAATTTTGAGGGAGTCTGCAGGCCACCTGCGTTTCTGAGCAGATGCTACAAATTCAGGGGTTCCTGTGACCTGCCTCAGGTTCAATAATTTGCTGGAACAACTCATAGAACTCAGGAAAGCATTATACTTAATGATAACAGATATTTCATAGAATGTCCTTCAATTTGAGTCTATCTGATGTTTTTCTCATTATTGGACTGGGGTTATTAGTTTTTGGTAATCATATTCTATTTTAACAAACCTTAAACAGTTACTAAGGTCATATAACACAGTTATCACACATCTGTTAGAATAAATAGATAAGTTCTAGGTCTCCTTCTTGGCCAACTCTGGCATAACAGGAGAACAGCAAAGATTTCAATTTGAAAAAATAATTACTCTGAAATAGCCAAAGCAAAATCTATTATACCATAGAACCTGGCTTTACTTAGAAACTGGATATCCTCAAAATCCTCAATATTCCCAGGGTCCTCAATTCCAGATGCCAACTCTTGCTCAAGGTAATTAATCTCAAAAGAAAGGGTAGGAACAAAGATATTTAGTCACAGATAAAGATAAATGAAACACTGCTATCTCAACAACTTGTATTTCTCCAATTAAACCACCTAATTAAAAACATACAATAAAGAAATAAATATAACAATACTCAACTCTTGTTCATTATTACTGTTACATCCCAGATTTTTAAATGCTTCAGATTCCACTCACCCGAGATTTCTAATTCTGCCCAGTGAGATTTTTTCCCATTGGCTACCTCCTCTGCTGACATGATGGTATAAATTCTGCGAGGATCTGGAGGATCATATTTTTCCTTTGGCATCCCTATTAGTCTGTTAAAAAAAAAAAAAAGGGGGGGGGTCAGCAAGTATTATAATCTTATATAAAAAAAAGAAAATAGTATGGTAAGTTTTCTTTTTCTCTCCCCTTGCCAGGCTAATAAGTCATTTTATACTACAAATTCTCACTTGAAGGAAAACACATCAACCGCAGTATGCTAGCCTCTGGTAAGAACTCATTAACAGATGCCTAAAGAAAAACGCAAACAAGCAACGGTACTGGACTTAACAGTGAACACTGTGGTTGCTTCCTAATCCCTTTCCCTTCATTTAGCTACACTGCTTTCCTAGATAGACTGACTTTACAACCAGTTTCCTGAATGGACTTTGACTAGTCCGTGAGAATCAGGTAACTCTATTCTCCTTGCCTCAGTGATATTCAGATATCCCATGCTTAAAACAATCAGCACATGACAATCCCCTGGCCACAGAGATTAGTTCAGAAGTATCTAATAATCACAAAGCTTTAAGATTCATTCTACATTTATGGGAGATGCAGGCTTCTCTCTTCTACTGGTCATAAATAAAGAAGAATATAAGATATAGCCCAGATTGTGATTGACAGCCATCCAACAACTATAAGGGAAGCCAGCCGTAGAAGGCGAAGTCTAGAAAACAGAGAAACAAAGTTACAGTCCTCACTGAATGACATCTGTAGCACTCCCAATTACTGGCCTTTTCAGATACGCAAGCCAATATATTTCCCTTATCGTTTAAACTAGTATGGGTTGTGTTTTCTGTTACTTGTCATCAAAAGCATCCTAATTAGGGTGACTATTTCATATTTTGGTTTGCCTGAGCCAGACTTGGTTTATATCTGTTGTTCTGAGTTAATTATTAAAGATTATTAATACTTTCACTCTCTAAAATGTCTAATTTGGATGAGTTATATGGCTACCCTAATCAAAACTAGTATTATGCAGTTTTCTTCATGTAACTGCCAAAAGAAATCACTCAATAATAATCAGTGATGACCAACTAGACATAAAACTCCTCAAATGTGCTATTGTATGAAAATAATAATGTGCTAGGTAGAAAATAAAATCCAACTCAAAGCTAACAAGAAGAGCAAATGACAGAAAAGTCTGAGCCTAATTAAACTCCTACACGCTATCAGTAAATTGCCATATAATATTTATAGTTGCTTCTTTGCTCATATTTTAACATACACACACACCTGCCCCCAAACCAAGTGTCTAAATCTGAAACTGTTTCTAAGTAGAGTTTAAAATTTCTATCCCAAATGGAAAAGTTACTTTCAAGTGGTCTGAAATTTGTTATACATAAAGAATAAAGAAAAATTAGAGGTATTCTGCCATATATCAAAAAATCAAAGGTAATTTGTAAGAGTACTATCAAAATTTTCCATACCAAAATTTTCCCTATTTCTGAAGGGAAAAGAGTCATTCCTTTCCAGTTACTTAAAAGAGGCAAAGAGAATGTTTTTCCAGATTTGTTCAGTTAACAGTAATTAGTTTCCAAGTTTCCAGGTTAACCTATTCAACTCTAATCTAATCATACAATTTGGGTGATACTATTTTATTTTCCATAAATGTCACAGAACTTCATACAGCACAAAGAATATGATAATTTCCACAGGGAAAAAAACTTGATTTCTACTTGATTTCGGGCTGTGTGAAATACTTCTGAAAATAAAGTTTTTAGGTAAGATTTTTATAATTTCTAATGTACAACACAAGGCACATGTGTCTCTATGGGTAATTTTGCACACTAACAAAGTTCTACAAAAAATACAAGACTAATAAGCAAAGTCAAATCAAACAGATCCAGATCCAAAGACATTCTACATAATCCATCACCTACAGTGACAATGTGTAAAAGACTACTAAATTTGCACAAATATAGGTTTCATCAATTTTAGATCATTCTTACAAAACATAGGGCATAGGATTAGAAGTTAATGTGACTGTTTCAATCATAGATACCACCACATATTATGTTTGTTAAGGGGGCTATGAGTTATTTCTGTGTGGAAATAACTTTTTATATTTCTTTCTTATATTTCTATACAGTTCTCGCCACTTAATCTGTAATTGTGGAATGATCACATGCTTTATAATCTTCAAATCTACCATCTTC